GGTTTCCTTGTTGCCAACAACCCATAACCTTTAGACACCCAAGGAATAGGTGCCAACAATTTTCAAGATCCCTCTCACACTAAACTCCTATACTTTATAGTTGTGGCTGTGTTGGTAGACACTATTTGCATGCACGCTATGCAAATACACGTACCTTTTGGGGTACCCTCATGCTCCAAATATTCTTTCAGTTGCCTCTTACCCTTGATGCATTCAAATATGTTAGTATAATATGTCAGTACATTACAAACATAATGATAAATAGATCTTACAATATAGAATCCATCCCTACAAAGCCTCCAAAATAACCAATCTTGGCTTTTTGTGTGCACAAGCGAGATTTTAAGAGTCGTAACTCTATCACTTTTGTTCAACTACAAAGTATTATGTCCTGATTCTAACAACGCAAATCTTGATTGGTAAGTGTGCTTGCACCTCGGTCCACCTCTCTTGCCTAGTTGGTTGACTATACATACACTCCTTCTTCCTTTTACAACCATAAATTGTCCCAAATACAAACACAATCTCCATTACCTATGTGCCATTATGACCTTTCCTTCATTGGTACATAAGAATGTCATATTCTACGTCAAGTAAAACTTGGATATGGCCTACATTTGTCTCCAAAAAAACCCTTTGGGAAAATATTTAGATTTGAGAACTTTAGTTATAATAACATTAGGGTCAGTTGTTAACTTCCAACCTTGTTTCCCTAGCATGACAATATTGAATCCATATATGTCACGAAATTCCATTTCTCCTTGCTTTTTTTTTCATTACAAGTTTCTACTACCTTAGTCACCTTATGCCTTTACCTGTTCTTTGGTCCATGTCCCACCAAAATGAAGTTACCATTTGTTCTAGCTCCTTCACCAATGTCTATGGCAACAAAAACACATTCATGAAGTATGCATGAATGGCTTGTTATACTACTCCCACCATTACCTTTCTTCTTGCCTGGGAGAGATGGTTGTCACTCCATGAATTGATTATATTCCATACGCAATCTTTTAAGTACTTGAATATCATATTATTGTTCCTTTTAATTGTTGACGATATTCCTTTACTTGTACTAAACATCGTTGATATTCCCAAGATATCACCAAACCACCACATAGAGGTGTCAAATAGGTTGAGTTGACCTGTCCTAACTTGACCTACAATGGCCAAATGTTTTTTTTTTTAAGTTAGGCTGACCTAGCTTATATTTTTTTGGAATGTCATTTTTGGGCCCAACTTGACCTATGTCAGGTCATCGGACTAAACTGGCATAATTAAAAAAAAAACTAAATATAATTTTTTAAAATGAAAAATATATAACATGATTAATTGATACCATATATGTATTGTCATGAAACACCTAAAAGTTTTACATGTAAATAGCTTCTCACAATCATTGAATTTGCATTTATCCACCTCATCAACTAGACCAACCTTTTCATAACAATTCCATACCTCAAAGGTATTAGGCTTAATTTTCTTAACCTTTTAGTATCTTAGTCTTATCATTAATACCCCTACTCTTACTTTTATCGTGGTTCCGTGAGTACATGCATGAGTGTGACAATGTCTTCATCTTATTTGACAAATGAAACAGAGATGACATGTCACGAGATCAAGTCATCAAGGGTGCAACGGTAGTGGTGAAACTCTCATAGCAGTTAACCTAACTTCAAGATTGCAATCACAACTTTGTAAGCAAAAATAAAAAGAGTGAAAGACTATAATTATTATTATTATATTATTTTATAATGCATTACAAGTTTACAGTAACGATAATTTGGATTATTTCACTTATTAGTTTAATATTGAGTCAACTCATAAGCCTACGAGTTAGCCTAACTTAGGCCTATTTGGTTTGTTGAACTTGGTGGGTTAGACTTAGACCAAAATGATCTAGTTCTATTTAGGTCATTGTTTTTAAGATCCAATTTGACCTTATTTATGGGCTGATTGGTGAGTCCATCAGGCCAAACTCAAATTGACAGCTTTATCGCCATATTGTTCCTAGGAGACATTACGACTAAAAAATATCTCAAATTTTGTTAATAGCTTGCTCAAATGCCTCCTCGTGCATTTTTAGAATAGACTTAATAATTTGACATAAATAAAAATACTTATTTTAATAGTACACATAGGTATAAATTATTTTGTTAATTATTATTCAATTTGGTTTCTCTATTTTTAAAAATATTTAATTTTATCTAACTATTTTTAAATGTTCAATTTTATCCTTTAATTTTAAAAATAATCTATAATAACCTTTCATCTAATTTCATTAATTGATAATGTTAATTTTGACGAATGAACAACATTTAACATATATATTGTTTTTTAAAATTGGGGACCAAATTAAATTCTAAAAATAAATAAAAGGATAAAAATATAATATAGCATATTTATTTAATATGTAAAAATTAATTATAAATAAACATGATAAATAAAATAAAATTAAAGAAAAAATTAAAAATATCTCTAAGTAATATAGTGATGGATTTTTTGTGGCTCTTCAATGCTAAGTGAGATTCTATTTTATTTTATTTTATTTTTTTACTTTTTATTCCATTAAAAGAACTTAAATTAATTTTTTTTAATTCACTTTATGTGAATTTTACAATAGATTAACTTTTTTTTTTTTTAAGAACCTAGTTCTTATAAGTTCTTATAAAATGACGAGTGATAAAAAATAATAAAAACCATTTTTTATTTCAAGAACCTCACTAAAAATGACCGTGGGTTACTTTTATCTATCGATGAATTTTTTAATATTTAGAAGTACATGTAATGAGATAAAACAAAGCTGCTATATATAAAAAAAAACAACAGTAAAGTTAAGTCAAAATACACTAATTTATATTTTTTTACTATTGTAAATTGTAAACATGTATGAAATATCAACATTTATCTTGTATTGTAGTAGTATTTTTTTTAAGAGTTTCATTTTAATGAGAGTGTTTTTTCAATGAAAAGTTTTTTTAAAAAATATTTTGTTAGCTTTGTATTTATCATATTTATTTTTAAATTAAATTTAATAATTAAATATAAATTTTCAATAATTAAAAATAATTTTTTCACAATATAAATTTATATGTTCAAAAATATGTATCGATATAAATTTTAAATTAACAAAATTTTTATATTGAAATATAATTTTTATCAATACAATATCAAATGCAGTGTTATATTCTGTTACAATACTCTTACTTCTATCAGTACATCCTATGAAAATGTAAAGTCAAAGTCAACAAATTGTTTAAACTTTAAAGGACATATAGCATATAAAATACTGTGAAATGAGATTTTAAAAAATATCATATTGTCAAAATACCATTTCATATTATATTTCTTATATTTTGTAAAAAAAATGATTTTAAAAAATATTAAATCTAATGGTGTAAAAAAATACTAAATCTTTAAAAAAAAAATTAAAAAGTGTATAAACGAATTTGGGGAAAAAAAAAAGCCTCTCAATGCACGGTCACATTTAAAAGAGTTGAATCGAAAAAAAAAAATAAAATTCAAGAATCCAATTCATTTGGTAGAATTATAAAAAATATCGAATAAATTTGAATTCGTTCCTTCTCATATTAACACAAAAAAATATATGAATAAATGCAATGACAATTAAAAATGAAAATTTATAATAATAAAATCATAATTACACTCTAATTTTCATGAATTCAAGAACAATCGATAGTTGATTTATGCAATTAATCAATTATTTAACTAAAATTAGATTAGATTGTTTTATTCTAATATAATATAATTTAAAATCTAAAATTGCAACCATAATTATGAAACATGAAATTTAAATTAAAAAAAGAGAAGAGGATGAAACTAATAGTATGTAAGAATCATAAAATCAAAACTCAAATTCTAACCACAATTATTAAAATCTTGAGTTAATAAAGGAAATAAGTTTTGTATCTTCATCAAGATGCAAGTAATAATTCGTTGAAAGAAAATAAATTGTAAGAGAGAGAAAAGATAATTTGTTAGAGAAAGAAAATTTATAGAAGTTTGTAAGAGAAGTTAAATTAAAATTTAAAATGAAGTTTAAGTTTTCACTCAAGTCACAATGACTTATTTATAGATATATAAATTTGTGGTCCAAATAAAAAATAATTACATGTCCACTAATTATCTAATTAACAAGCTAATATTTTTTTAAATTGGACGCTTATTAAAAATTTTAGTCCAAATGTAAAAGTAACGATTTCATTTGTGATTTTAGACAAAAGAAAATTCAAATTTAGTCTTATTTATGAGTGACAACTTTAAATATCTCTTACTTAACTTTTGAAAATCAACAAAATTGTCCAATTTCAATGTTTGTAGATTCATTTATGTTCTATACAAAATAGTAACACTAAAATAAAAAGATTTAAAAAACAACTTCAATTAAGAATTAATTCCAATTAAACCACTAACTCAAAACATGACAAATACATCACATAAGTCCAATATCCACACCTATCAAGCTTCTCACAAATATGATTGCTATTCTGGATGTTCTTCCTCCTAGTGAAAACTCCTCCAATAGCAAGATTTATAAGGCCATAATTAGACATAACATGTGCCAACACGAGGGAGCGAGACAAATAAAAATTACCTCCATAAACCTTGTCAAAATTGAGAATTTCTTTGAAGTCTCCTATAAGAGTCCATGGTCATCAATATGAGCAGATACAGCAGACAACTAATCCCAAAGATTACTTTTGACAACAGGAACTAGAGAAGCATATATAATAATAATACAATACTATAAATAATCAAAGGAAATAACCTGAGTTGTTGAAGAAGAGAAAAGAAAACATCCAATAATCCATTATATAAAACTCATATACCATGAGAGTGACCCTTGCACACCGAATAAAAACTTTGTTGCAACTTCCACGTTTTGTGGGCTTTATCTAAAATGGGCCACAATCTAGCAGGCCGAGCGCCAAAGGAAAGCCCACTACGGTAGCAGCAATTCGCATGGGGCAAAGCTATAATTGAAATGGACAGCGTCTCGGAAGAGACCTAGAAAATATCCATTCTCTCTATGAACCGATGATTGTTGAATGATGCAGCAGTTTGAACAATATCCTGGGCGGCCATTTACAATTATGGGGGAAGTGGTAATGGTTCTCAGTTCTCACTCTCATAATATTAAGTTTTGATTTGGATGAAAATGTGAAGAATTAATTTGTTATTTTTCTTTTTGAATTTCTTGCAACTGTCATCCTTGTTTATAATATGGAAATGTTGAGCATGGGAAACAAGAACATAGATGTGCTGCAACCTGCAACGATTCTTGCTGTTTCATTTTTCTTTCTTAAAGGCAAAATGCCATATGGATATGATAGGTTTGAATATTTCATCACTCTAGCAACTAGCATGTTGGGTTTTCTAGTAACTAGTTTTGCGGATAGTTTTTTCTAAGATCTGTTTTACGAGTTACACAGCTAATCATAGTAGTCAATGACATTGTTATTAGGCTCGGCTCGGCACTCGAACCTGTTGGACCGGGACCGGTCTTATGGCCTGGAAATGCTTTTAAACCACGTTTACACCATTAACCCGGTTTACCAACTCGTGAAACTGGTGACTTGGACCCGTTTTCACCCAAACCCTCTCCCATTATCCAATATTCTGATGCGCTCTGTTGTGGGCTACAGTGGAGTAGTGGAGCAGCTGAGTGGGGCAGGCGGGTGGGGTAGTCTTTGGCTGCTACAGGATTTAATCATCGGAAAATTTGCCAGAATTCGCTAAAAGTTACTGAAAATTTTGCCGGTTTCCGGAAAGGGGGTAATTAATACAGTAAAACTTGACAGCACTGAGTGCCTAGTCAAGTTAACAGGGTACTGACAGCTATAGAGCCCATAAGACCTTCGGCATGTTTTTGTTGCTGAAGCATAGCCTCTAGATTGTCAGTATCCTGTACAGTGTTTAGTTATGAGGAAAGAAATGAGTGAGAGATAGAGTGAAGAGAAATTGGTTAATGAAAAGAGGTGAGAAGCAGAGTGATATTTGGACTGTTTGGTTTTAGAGAAATAAGAGAGAATTCGAGGAGAAATAATATTAGAAGTTGTTTGGTTTGGATTTTAGATGGAAGGAGAATAAGGAAATCAAATAACAGTAAATTTACTACTGTTACCCTGCTTTAATCGCGCTCAACTTATTAGGAGAAAACATGTTATAATCAATTAAACTTGAGCCATAATCAATTAAAATGTGTCATGCTCTTCGTCAGGTCAGCCCATAATCTATTATGGAGAACACAGGCAAGCCAAATTTATTGTTGAATGCACAGCTGCACACAAACAAAGCCAAATCTAGTGTTGAATGCATGCAGCATGGCAGAGACACTTGAAGGCTGTGGAGTGTTTGTTGGAATGCTTGAATGTGTAGAGCATGGGAGACAGGGAGGGGAGATTACCGTTTCTTGTCTATTTCCCCTCACTCCAGCAAATAAATACAAATAAGTGGGACCCACCGCTTTTTTATTTCCACTCTCACCATTTCATTCATACCAAACAATTAACATTGTTTCTCTTATACCCATTTCCACTCTTTTCTACCTATTGTCTATTCATTTCCATTCTACCAAACAGAGGCATAAAGTCGTTGGTACTCTGATGCCTGCCTTAAAAGTCATTGGAAATTCTGTTGGTTGTCGGAAATGTTTTTGGAAAATCTTACAGTTGTCAGAAAGGCAGTAATGCAGCAAAACTTGACAGTTCTTGGTGTCCATTAAGGACAAAGTTGCTGGAACTCTAATGGCTGGCAGAAAATCTGACTGTCATGGTGTCACCAGAAAAGTTATATATATATATATATATAACTAAAAATACTGAAAACATAGGTGAGTGCGATTTCAGATTAAAAAAACTAAAAATCTAATTTGGTTGAATAATTAAATAAATATTGGTTTAATTTTATATGAAAAGTTAAAAGTTCATTAAAATTTCTCTAAAAAAACTGATAAAATAGTTACAATAAAATATTATGACTACATAGTTTTGAAAATAAAAACTCAAACCTATACTCTAAAATAATTTTTAAAAAAATAATCATCATATGATTTAATAAATTTAACGACATTAGGACTCATTTAAATCACAATATATTCAATGCCGATCTAAATAATTTTTGTTGTAGTGTTGATTTCTCATCTATTATATTTCCGTTAACATTACTCCCTTAAATAAATACAGTAAAAAAGATGGAAAGTTGAGATTGTGAAAGGATTATAATTGAATTCTATGCATAAAAACCGACATTGTTAATTTCTTATTTTATATATATATATATATATATAATACTGTAAAACTTGACAGCACTTGGTGACCACTGCCCAGCCAATTTACAAGGTACTGGCAACTTAAGAGCCTAGTCGGACCTTCTTCATAATGTTTTTGTTGTGAAAGCAGAGCCCCATTAGCTCAGGAACTTTTATACCATGCGAGAAGATAGAAACAAAGATTTTTCTTTTTGAATTTGTTCACGTGAGTATACAACTAAGCAAAATTATCTATTTATAATAATAAATTAATAATGATTTCAAGATAATAAATTTACTATTGTGAAGAGACCAATTAAAATATCACTACTTCCTAAGGTACTCTGAACTTTGTTTAACTAAATAACTAAGCTACTTGAAAGAGTAATAATCATTGAATGCTCCTATTTCCTTTAGAGGGAAAAAAACTTAATGCTATCAGATAGTGATGTCAAAAACCCATCTGTTCATGTTATTGTTTTAAAAGGAAAAAAGATATCTTCCAATTGTTGTGTCCTAATTCTTGTTCTCGATGTCATCAGGAAAAGGGAGATAGAGTGTCTATTGTTTGCATTTGACTTGGTTGACTCATCATGAGGCGGGTGTATTGTTGGCCTTGGTGTTTGTTTGGGAATTAAATTTTTGAGGGAAAGGGAGGAGAGGACAATTTTTTAATAAATATTCTCTAATTTGATAATCTTTAAAATGAAAGAAACAAAATGACATATTAACATAAACTTAATGTCCTAATCTTTTTTATTTTTTATTTTTATAGTCATTATATAACTTTCTTAATTTAAAAATAAATATCGGTGAATCATCAATGAATATCAGTGTTTATGAAAGTTTTATACTAATCATTACTGTAATTCATTTAATTTTATGTGGAATACGTGCATGTCATATAATGGCTTTAAAGATAAATTTTGCAAGTTAGCGTGCATTTTAGCATGTTCAATATTTTTAGTTAAAAGATTTTAGAATTTATACAAGTTATATATTTCTCTTTATATGTATTATTGGTAATTTTTCTTCGCCAAAACTAAAGCTGGGTTCTCTTTTTGTTAGAATTTTTTGCAAGATGATGATAATCGATTGGAGATTACACGAGCTAGATGTATGTCTATAATCTCATCAGTGTTATTTGCTTTTACTGGATAACATGTCAGTTATTCTATTATTTCCTTGACAGTTGGCAGTGTGATTAAAAGACATGGAGATTTGACAGAGCGTCTTGCTAGGTAAAACACTCTGAAGATGCATGGCTTCTTTCTATGCTTCAATTTGTTATTTTGAAGTCATCAATGTGCACATACTTGAACTGCAGATTAATATGTATATAACTGTATAAACTTGTTCTTGCTTAACTTTGTATACTGTGCCATCTTTTACACTACTGTTTACTTGTTTACCATGGGGTGGGTTAGGAATAGAAAATATATTTAAAGTACTTAATTAGGAAACCCTTGGAGTTCATGATCTTTTTACATGAACATTCTTTGTTGTTTTTAAGCTTCAATGAATCTTGCAATCAAATTTCACCTGCTTACCATTTTTTTTGAAACAGTATAGAAATTAGAAGTTACATCAGTTGATGCGCTGAACTTATATTTCATACCAGTGAGTGAATGTGTTACAGATATTGTGAATATATTATAGATATTGTGGATACATATATTATGATTATCATCCTCACTATCAATTAGGGATATGATTAGATTAGTTTCCATAATATTAGAGATTAATATCTCTATCATTTATTGTATTCACTCTATAAATAAGATTGGTATGTGTACAACAATACACACAATTCTTGAATCACAACATGGTATCTAGAGCTTAGGTTCTTTTCTTTTAGAAAATATTTTTTCTCTCTTCTTGCAAAGGCCCTCGCTGCCACCTCCGGCTGCCGACAGCCGCTGCGCCGGCGGGTGC